ATCATCACCATCATCATCTTCATCATCATCATCATCATCATCATCATCATCATCATCATCATCACCATCATAATAATAATACTAATATATAGCATTTGTATAGCGGAAATCCCCGCTCAACAGAAAGCTGTATGCGCTTCACAATCTATACTATTACCCCAGCAGACTTGAGAGCATTCTGAAACAACCTCAACTTCCCAGGAAGCATACAGTGCAAGCGACCATTTATAGGCGCTAAAACACTAACATACTGACAAAATCTTTCGCTGTCTATGGCCCATTCCCACCTGGGTGAAGTGAGAAAAATTCGTGTAAAGTGACTTTCCCAAGGATACAACGTCGGGCCTGCAGCTCGAACCCCTGAACCTGCAACCTCACAGTTACGAGTCCGGTAGCCTAACCACTAGACCACCGCCGCCATCATTGCCTTTCTCACCCTGCACCAGGGTATAGGCCACGAAAAAACACTTTCTTACCTTGCACCAGGGTATAGGCCACAGACAAACACTTTCTCACCCTGCACCAGGGTATAGGCCACGGACAAACACTTTCTCTCCCTGCACCAGGGTATAGGCCACGGACAAACACTTTCTCACCCTGCACCAGGGTATAGGCTACGGACAAACAATTTCCACCTTTCTCTATCCTGGGCTAGCCTCTTGGTGTTATTCCATGTCTTCCCACTTGTCTGTACATCGATTTATTTTATTCTTCTCCAGGTACCACACGGTCTTCCCCTTAATCTTTTACTTTTACCCTGTGGATTCCAATCTAACATTTTACTTGTTATGCAGCTGCCTGACTTCCTGAGAGTATGTCCAATCCATCGCCACCGCCTTCTTCTTCCTACCTCATCTCTGACTGGGATCTCTGTCTTGTTTTCCTGAACACTCCCTCTTTGGTGATCCTGTCTGTCCATCTGATCCTCAGTAACTTTCTTAGAGTAGAGACTTGTTCAAGAAAACCTGGATCCTCGTTATGCATGTCTGTGATGCGTTCCATGCCTCACATCCATACAACAAGACAGACTTCACATTTCATCAATTGAAAATCCTCAGCTTTTCCTTACTTATGCCTACTTGGTTGGATAATAGGCGTCATTGCAGGCGGCACAATCTGTCCCCGTGGTTTTATGCACCACGCATGATTTAGTAAAATAACGACATCCTCTGTATGGCGACATGGTGCCCAGGTCTCGAATTTTCCTTACATAATATTATCATTTGTAATTTTTGGTTGCCTCTCTACGACATTTTTTCTGGTCCACGCGATGTCGATATAGAGAGAGGCTGCACTGTATTACGAAAGAGGAAAGGAAACAGAACGCAAATACGTGTTTAATAATCTACAAAATGACCCCAGGGCGTACGGAATAGGGTTAACTGATTCTGCAGGAAGGGATAAACCATCCTAGCAGACAGACCAAGATTCTCGATAAGAATATGAATTTCCCCACTCGGGAATCGAACTCTCATCTTCTGCAGTCTTCTTCTTCCTGTACTGTATCTTCATTCTCTGTCACAACAAGTTTGAACAAACCACTTTAAATCAAATGTGTAACGACACAGTGGAATCAGGCACTCATCTATTTTAGGACATATGGAATTATTAGTCTGTCCCCACCGCCTTATGAAAAAAAGAAATCTGAAATTATGCAAACTGAGCCCCAAAAATGTGAAATTATGTGATTCTGTTAATTTTAACTTAACAAAGAAGGATAAGGGAAAATAAACAGAAATTATGCAAAAAATGATCAAATTTTGCTAAATTATGCGGGGTGCATAAAACCACGGGGACAGATTAGTGTCATCTTAAAGCTATTTGTTTGTCTAGCTTTTGGTTAAAATACACGTCAATCTTGAATAGAAGTCGAGATATTTGCGATTGAAGGAGGTGGGGGGTAACATGTTTCATGAGGTAAAATTTGCGAGATAATGGCCGCCAAAGTTTGTCAACTTCTATAGCTTGAGAGTCCTTGACAATTGAAGATGTAGCCTACATATTATTTTGTGCAATTAATCAACGTTTTTAAATAGTAAAATTCACATTGGAACGTGTATTTATAGGGACATAAAATAACTCAGCCAAATAAACAAAAAATCGACAAAAATTGCCAAACTGGAGGAAAAGTCATGCCTGTTTCTTCCTTTTCATGATTTTGACGAGCGCCTGATCTCACCATGATGCCTCACAAATATTAATATTAACTCCTGTTGAAAAGCTCTCGCGCCTCCACACGTGCACACACAGGGTCGGCATGAAGTAAGTGCCGGTACATTATGTAGTGCGTGCTGCCATGTTTGGAAACTTTGACTAACTTACTGACGTCTGCTAGGTGGCGTCGGTAGCCTTAGTGGTTAGGCTACCGGACTCGTAATCGTGAGATTGCGGGTTCGGGGGTTCGAGTGAGCCTGAGCTCGGTCGGAAGTTGTGTCCTTGAGAAAGACACTTTACACGAACTTATTCCCACTTGGCTCGGTCCTATCGGGGACGGACGTTAGACTAGGAGGTCCCGCCCCTTAAATAACCTATTAATGTTGAAAGGGGCGTTAAACCCATACCATTTCACAATTTTTGACGTCTGCTAACAGTAACAGTGCTCACTGCATGCTGTAGAAATTATTCTTTCAAAGAGCTTTGGCCCACGCATGTGGAAACGTTATAATCAAAAATAGCTTGGCTGCATCGCAGTATGTATAGGGCGTCGTAGTAAAGTCAGGCGTTTGTATGAATTTTTTTTTTACCTTTTAAAAACTGCTCGTCTAAAAGCATGTAATGAAATCGAATAAAAATAAAACTTCATAAGTATTTAATTCTTCCATCACTTGGGCAATTTTATCGAATTTTCTTCTTTTTTTTAGGGGGGGGGGGTAACACTTTTTGTGACCATTTAAAAACACATTCCACTGTAAAGTTTGATTGACAGGCACATAAACAATGTAAATCTGAAATTTCCAAGGACTCAAGCTTTGAAAGTCACCAAACTTTGGCGGCAATTTTCCGTGAAAGTTAAGCTAACAAACGTACTGGTCAAGTCTGCCTAAAAAAGGTAAGCCGGGACTGCTCAAAATAGGCCCTTGGGCGCCATAGCTACTTGCTCTTTTACTTTTAGAATATTTTTAATCCCCTTGATTCTTTTATTTTACTGACTATCAAGATATATATATAATATATATAATTCTGGTCGTTGCCTAATTATGGCATCAGCTCTTGGCCACAAAATGTTAGATTGAGACAGCCACATTTGAAAATTAATTGATACTTATATATATATATATATATTCATATTTTATATTAGCATCTCTACTTTTTTACCTTCTGTTTCTGTACTTTACTCATATTGTTTGGTCTAAATTTTTGCTTTCAAAATAACATTGAGACCTATGCCTTCCTTTAAAATTATAAAAATTACGTTTTGCCCAAAGTAGGAATACATACAACAATGTATTAAATTAAGTTAGATCTAGATTCTATATACATATTTTCTCGATTATTTTGTATTGTTTACATATATGAGAACAGAATTTGTTTTCATTCCCATAAGTATTGCGATCTCGATCTCTAGAAGTGATAATGTGATTATGAAATTAAAATTATTATATTAATTTATTATAAGATCTAATATGTTCCTTTATGGAAGATCTTTTCGTGTGTGGCTCATCTCAGTTTGATTCATTCACCCTGTAAAATAAATGCCTTAAATCATGTTTTGCCCCCTGCAGTTAATAATATGGAATCATTCTTTCATAGTATAAAAAGATAGCCTACAGTTTAGTTTTATTTGCCTGTGGCCCGCTGTGGCACTGTCTGTAACTTCGATAATGTAATAATATTTGAACAAGAAGATTTCGATCTTGTGAACCTACCGAGGGGAGCTAATCTGTGGACGAAGCGAGTCTGTCCCTGACGAGCATCAACTTCCGGTTATAGTGAATTCACTCACTTTCGAATCGCCGTACTGTGCGTCTGCTACTTTCTTGGTGACTTAGTAAAGACATTCAAGGCTGCATGCAAGAAAGCTCGACTTAGGAGGTTTTTATACGCAATCAAGACTTGTGTGACAAGTTTCTCTCAAACGATGAATCTTGAGTTGCTGGGTGAGCCTATTAAATGTGAAATGCTAGTCTAGTAGTGTAGAGCCTAGAATCTAGAATCTGATTTAGACTTAGACTTAGATATAGATATATATCTATATATAGATTCTAGATCTAGATTAGATCTAGATCTAGATCTAGTTCTAGATATCTAGTGCAACTAGCGGCGATTTTGTAGTTTCGTTCATTAAAGTCAGCCCCCCTGACCTAAAAAAAATATGGAGGTGGGGGCGCTTTTTCGGTAGTTCCCACCCCCCTTATTTGATAGAGCCTGACCTAGATCTACATCTAGATTCTAGATCTAGATCTAGATCTAGATCTAGATCTAGATCTATCCATACGTTTGATTCGCGGCAAGCTAAGATGTCAAACCTAACAACTGCAAAACATTAAATTGTGGTAAAATTCAGGGGGGCATGCCCCCCTGAAACCCCGTACCTTGTTTTTATTAGGTCAGGGGGGCAAGCCCCCCTGAAACCCCCCTGGCTACTCTTGGGGCCAAAACCGGCGAATAACAAATGCGGGGTGGGAACTAGATCTACCGAAAAAGCGCCGGGGGGGGGTTCAGGGGGGCTTGCCCCCCTGAATTTTATCCTTATTTGATGTTTTGCAGTTAGGTTGCATCCCTGCTCTTTGTGTACTGTAGCCTAATTCAAATAGTATTTTTGGTCTTCAAGACTTCTGGATGTAAACAAATGGATCGTGGACTTTAACGAACGGAACTACAAGATCACCCAACTAGCATCCGTAACGAGCGACCACCCCATCAAACACAAATATAAAGAAGAGGCCTCTAACCCTAACCCTAACCCTAACCCTAACCCAAGCCCAAACCCTGACCCTTACCCTAACCCTAACCCTAACCCTACCCCTAGAATCCTAGATCTACCCCTACTAGGCCAGGGCAAGATCGACTCTGGGATCGATTCGGTAAAATCCAAGCAGACCGGGTCAATACAATGAAATAATAGAGAAAAGGGAGTGTATACAGACCCGGTAACCGGGAACAAAGTCACAAAGTATACACAGACCCGGTAAGGGAACTCTTTTGTGATGTCGGAGAGTTTCAGCGCCCTCTTGGCTCAGAGTAGACCTAGGTTCTTCTAGATCTATGGTCTAGATCTAGATCTAGGCAGACAGACTTAAATCTTTTGATCTAAGCTAGGCTAGCCTAGATCTAAATGAAGATTGCGGATGTCTTTTTGATGAACGATCGTTTTTCCTCCGTTTTGGAGTTGGAGGAATCACGATTTGAAGAAAAGAACAAGTTACAATGTCATAATTTCAGTCTCTCTCTCTCTCTCTCTCTCTCTCTCTCTCTCTCTCTCTCTCTCTCTCTCTCTCTCTCTCTCTCTCTCTCTCTCTCTCTCTCTCTCTTCTTTCTCTCGTTCCCTCCTGCCAACTGGGGCATGTCATACATTTTACTAGCACCCCCCCCCCCCCTCCTCTCTCTCTCTTTCTCTCTCTCTCTCTCTCTCTCTCACACACACACACACACACGATTTCTACCGGGTCTGGGGGCTGAAACTTCCCGAAATCACAAAAGAGTTCCCCTACCGGGTCTGTATACTTCGTGACTTTGTTCCCGGTTACCGGGTCTGTATACACTTTGTAGAGAAAAATCGGGAAAAATATTAATACGCCAGCAAAAGTGTTAATTTCCCTCCAAAATGAGAAAGAAAAACTATTAACCACTTAACAATTAAAACACTTTCTACAATGAAAGTGGCTATTCTCACCCGCCCGGAAGTTCTCGCAAGATCAACTCCTCCCCTCTTCTCTCTCTTTCTGTTTCTTTCTGAATACTGTCTATCGGTGTGGACGATCAAATTGACCAAAACAAAGTTAAAAAATGATGTTAAAACACAAAAGTAAATTAATTTGGTTGTCTACAAAGATGCTACGGCTATTTAACTTTTCGAATCGAGCCGAACTACGCGGGTCGCCATTTTGTTTTGCCCGGAAATTCTCGTGCTACTCCTCTCTCTCTTTCTTTCTCTCTCTCTCTCTCCACTGCCCACAGACAAAATTGTACGTTTTTAGTAGGCTACAGTTGTAATGGAACGTTTGTTCATGGCACAGAATTCTACAATTTTTCTGTTATCACAGTGTAGAATTCTGTGGTTTAGGGTGAACGCAAAATTTGGTGAACGCGCACCGGGTGAGAATAGCCACAAGACTCGCCTGCACTATTCTCACTCCAGGTGAGAATAGAGGTGGCCTTCTACTATATCCATTCAAAAAACATAATTTGAGTTCTAAACACGATATAAAAGCACTCACTGCGTCCAAAGTCGACTAAAGAGTCTGAAAAATCTACTCGAATATCCCTGCATGCCCCATCTTTGTTTACATCCTGCAACAAGTATTCATACGCGCGTTTGACCAATCACTACAACTACAACTCGAATACTCCCCCTAGTCATTATAATAGCTCATTTAGTGAAATAATGTGTACAGTTAGTATTTTACTCGCGGTTATTCGAATGACAACTACCCCGACCTTTCAACCATCGTACATCTCAATGAAATATTTCATAACTTACCTTCCACTGTAATTAAGGACTTCCATAACGAGTGACCACCCCATCAAACACAATAAAGAAGAGGCCTAACCCTAACCCTATACTACCCCTACCCCTAGCCCTCAATTCTGCTCTGTCTCATACTGGTCGACCCCTAACCCTAACCCAAACCCTACCCCTACCCCTACCCCTAGATCTGCCCCTACTCCTAGCCCTCAATACCCCTACCCCTACCCCTAGATCTGCCCCTACCCCTAACCCTCAATACCCCTAGCCCTCAATACCCCTAGTCCTCAATACCCCTACCCCTACCCCTAGATCTGCCCCTACCCCTAGCCCTCAATACCCCTACCCCTACCCCTAGATCTGCCCCTACCCCTAACCCTCAATACCCCTAGCCCTCAATACCCCTAGTCCTCAATACCCCTACCCCTACCCCTAGATCTGCCCCTACCCCTAGCCCTCAATTCTGCTCTGTCTCATATAGTGGTCGCTCGTTACGGAAGTCCTCCTATTACAGTTACAGAATAACACATTTGTCCAGAAGTAGTTCCGGAGAGAGTTCCCAAGTCAGCTAAATTTAGGGAGCAAAAAGTAGTTCCGACCCAATCCGTAAAAATATGTTTTTGCAATCCTTAACAAGCATTTCAAGTTCTCATTTCAATTTCCCGAACAGCTAAAGTTACACTTTAGCACTTTGTGGGGTCGCTCAATTCATTTTTTAAGTCTAGAAACCCCTAAACGCCCG